ACATTGTGTTCGTAGATACATATGTTTAGTAGAAATTCATCTGGACAAACGGTCTTTTTATGTAAGACAATGGCAAAGTTGGCGGTTGACTTGATCTTAATTCGTTATTAATGCTGCCCGTGGAAATTTTGCAACACTCGTATGATTGCAATTTTATAAATGTGGGGCCCGGTTGCTATTCTTTTAATGTGAGCAGGTAATAAACGAGCTGGCGGTTCACCTGATTTTAAGTGATAACCGCCGCCCATTGACATTTGTAACACCCGTAGGTTTGGAGATGCGTTGCCACCTCTTAACAAAGTGGACCCCGGCTACCTCACTCACCAGACGAAACGCAGACGTATGACACTTATGACCGGTCGTGGTACTTACCCGGACGGACTTGCCCATTCGTAAACAGCAATATCGGCTAATGGTCGAATATGTTTACGTTTTCAAGAATGAAAACTTTTCAAAATTATCAGAAACATATAGTCCATGATATAGCGGTCGCGATAATAGTTCACCATTGACTGACACACTACCTACTTTTCTCGAAATTCGTAGCGTTAAATCGAGGAACGGCAAATTACTTGTCACAGGTCCCATATATTTTGCGGATCCTTTTTCTGCTCGCGGAGGCCCTAAAAATTTATTACCTTGTTCGGCTATCTTGGTCCTTTTCACGTATTTTATCGACACCAAAAATTGTCAGTAGCACTGAAATCCCTTATCTTAGGTTATACCTTCGTCCTATTGCCATGTCTTAGCTTTTAACAGTCGTAGCTCAGCCTGGATTTCATTCAGATATGCTTGTCAACTCACGTAGCTTTAAGCCTCTTTGACTTTTATTCTGCTTTTACTACGCTTTATTAGATTAATTTCTTAGTGAAAACTTGTTAATCTATCAACCGATCAATTATAACTGGTTATTTTAATTTTTTAGTGTTTGTTATAATTTGATTTAAAAGTTTGACAAAAGTTTTTCCGTAGTCTTATTGCAATTCGCGTAACGATTTTATTGTGGGACATTTTAAAAAAAACGAACCGGCCAAGTGCGAGTCGGACTCGCGCACGAAGGGTTCCATGCCATTATCTATAAAACTACAAAAAAAATCATGTCTGCTGTATGAAAGCCCCACTTAAATATTTTTTATTCCGTGTTTTAGTATTTATTGTTACAGCGGCAACAGAAATACATCATATGTGAAAAATTCAGCGGTTCAAGATACAGAAACAGACATCATATGTCCCGTTTTAAAAATTCAACTGTCTAACTATCACGGTTCATGAGATACAACCTGGTATAAGACAGACAGACAGACAGCGGAGTCTTAATAATCTAAGGGAGTTCGTGGGATAGAATTATGGTGTGCTCCTAAGGTCGACGCTTAATACGATAATTGGGGAGGGAGTAATTGAATGACTGGCAACAAACATAGGTTGAAGCTCGACCACGTCTCTTCTCTAATTATTGTGTACTTTTTTGCGTAATTGAATTTGTTAAATAGGTCCGCTCAAACAAAGCAATTAAAAGATGAATTTCGAGGTTTCTCTCTTTATTCTATTTAATTAAGCGATACTACTAGTCTTCTCAGATAGATTTAAAAACTAGAAAGTTTGTGTATATATGCGCACATAAGAAGTTATACTTCTTTAGCGTAACCAAAAATATATAAAAATTTCATATCCCATTCCAGTACTCTTTCTTTGTGACAACTCCATTTTTTTATTAACGGAAAACAAAACCGACTTTAAATATCTCGCTCTGTATTTATTTTACAATTGACTTCAGGAATTCCCTAGGTATTTCCGTAGCCCAAGATTCAATGACAATGAAATTAAAATGGGACCACATGGGAAGTATCAGCTTTCAAATAAAAAAAGAATCGTTAAAATCAGTTCACTCAGGTGAAAGTTCTGAGGTAACAAACATAAAATAAAATACAGTTTACGGTGGTAGGGCCACGCAGCAGCCTCGGCTGTTGCACGAAGTACCACGACCTCACAGAAGACCAGCGTAAAGTGGAAGTATGACAAATACTTTCGCGTTTCCGTCTGGTGAGTGAGGTAGCCGGAGCCCAATTTTCAAAAGGTTGTCAACGCATCTGTAACCCTCGGGTGTGGCAGATGTCCATGGGCGGCGGTATTCACTTAACATCAGGTGAACCGTCTGCTCGTTTGACAACTTTTGGCATAAAAAAAAAAAAAGTCCAATTGCGAACCTCCATCTTTTTTGGAGTCGGTTGAAAAATACATCAAATGCAATTGATAACGGTTCTAACTAGGAATTATAGGAAAATGTCAAAAAGTTGTTATTGGCTGCCGTGGCGATAAATGTCGCTTTATTTGACTGTCGGTGTGCGCGCGCGTCGTAACAATTTACTTTCATATTTGTTTTTTCAAGAGAAGTGTAACTTCGAAATTTGGATATTTTTAGAGCAGGAACGGTATCAGCATGCGCTAAATTCACGTAGGCATAAAAACTTCATCGTTCTCATTGCCTGCAACGTTCTACGTTATTTTATTACTAGATTTATACAATAGGTTAAAAGTAGTGAAACAGTTATCAGAGTTTAGTATTTTTACATTTGTTTTGTGCTGGGAAAACACCGTTTCAAATCTTTAAAAACAATTCTTTAATAGTAAAAGCGTTTATAAGAACATATAAAGCTTTTCCAATAGTTACTGTTTGTAATATACTCTGTACTGTAATGTTCGCTTAGTAATGATGACTCCGTGGCGCCGTCGCCAAAGTATCGGCTTCGGCGTCGCGGGTCGTGGGTTCGATTCCCACACGGGACAACTATTTGGGTGACCCACAGATAGTTATTCCGCATTGGGTGTTTGTCCGCGTGAAATTTAGGTTTGTAAAAACGACCTTATAACACAGGGTTATGTTATCCCAAAGTAAAGGCAGTGTTTTTTAAGAGAAAAAAATAAAATAAAATTGATGATTAAACGAAAGAAACACGTTGCTCATCGATAGGATTGTGAACAAAAACATCAAAAGGAAACCTGCATATTTTCGAAATAATAACAAAAGTCGCGTAGTGGTACATGCCTTAATGCCCTCTGTATAGAGGAGAGCTTTACATATTAGCGGAATAGGCTGTTAATTTACTTTGCTGTTTAAATGTATATTTTTAAAGGCCTTTTATTTTAGGAAGGACAATGTCTGTCGAATCCTACTAGTTGTGAAAGGGCCGGGCAACATCTTCGGCTTTGCACGAATTTGCAGGTCCGTCCGGGTAACCTCGACCTCCCAGAAGACCGGCGGGAAGTGGAAATGTTCCGCTTTTCGTCTGGTGAGTCAGGTGGATGGGGCCCTATAGGTAAAGGGGCAACGCATCTACAACCTTGCGGGTGTTGCAAATGTACATGGGCGGCGGTTATCATTTAACATCAGGTGAACCACCGGCTTGTTTGCCATTTTATCACATAAAAAAAAACATCTATGGACCTCGTCATGTGATTAGTGTTAGGGAATTTTATAGACTGTCAAAATACACATAATTTATTCAACATAAGTATGCAGTCTTCTTAAATATTTTAATACAAATGTATTGAATATATTAAACTCGTTGTACGTGTTATTACTGAGAGTACTGCATATGCCTCTTACAAACGAGTTACCTCATAACAACAGTGAAGCCCTTGCAATATCGTATTCAATTTCAACATTCTCGGAAGGGGCGGAGACTTCTGTAATAACTGACTCGTGATTCGATAAAGGAAAGGATTTCCTGGAAATCGAATGAAAATCTTTCATGGTGGCACTTGAAGTGGAAATTATTTTTTTCATCTCCTTCGAGGAAATTGTCATTCGGTTTTTGACATTTTTTTTATTCATCCAACATTTACAGCGCTAATTTCATGTGATCTAATAAATATAATCCACGCGTGCCAAAAAAAAGTTTTTGATAACTTATGACGACACTTTACGATCTTTATTAACGATTATTACGATTTTTCTAACGATACTTTATTATGTTTGTAAGTTTGTTTATTACGTGGTATTGTTGTTTTATTTGTCCAATACAGTATTTTAACAGGGATAACGTAGTGTCTAAATTATAGGTATTTCTTTTCTTTCCATTTAAACACCTATCTCCACTTCTCACGAACAACTGTTAGATTGACTGGCATAAAATGGCAATTTATTTAACTGTTTGCAAAACTTATTGTGCAAAAAGTTTTAAACAATAAATATCTGCTTCATGTTGTATTTATTTGTTTGCCGCAACGGTTCGGTTTTTTCAATACCCTTTTTAGTAGCCCTTCTCGAATACAATCGCTCAATAAGAGGGCGAGGTCTGATTGTAATTAGGAATGTTCATTTAATATGTCGTCCGCATAGCAAACGTTCCAATGAAATTTCTAATTCCATAATAAAATTAAGCAGTACGACAGAGGGTTCAATAAAAATTCCAGAGCCATACCGTCGCTCTGTAGTAATGGAATCAAACAACGCAATTGGGTTTATAAAATTTATTATGCCTAACGAGTAGTAAACTTATGTAAGAAAATATACGTAATTCTTGTTTACAGTAAACCTTAAACAAATTTACCGATGTTTAAACAATGTTATTTGATTTTCATAAATTATAACTATTTACAATTCCAACAACTTAATAATATTTATCAATACGGTATCGGTTATATCCAAGATATCTTTATTACAATATAACATGTAATTTAGAGCAAATTACCAGTAAGGTAAATAGAACAAGCTTACAATATAAACTTTTTCACTTCAAAGGCAAAACTATATAAAAGTAGAGACAATATGAAAAAGTCAATCAAGAATTTATTACTAGTTATTTTTTGTTCTAATTATTAAAACCTTTTAAGCTCAGAATTAGTTAGGAAGAAAATATTTTTAAAATTTATCACATTGTTCATTCGTTTTTTTAAACATGCTCCATACCGTATATAAATTAAAGTTTTGTAACGCAAACCTTCATTATGACAACCGCTTCCTGATCAGTTCAACATCGTAATATATCATCGGAAACTCAGGAGTAGCGGGAGAGATTCTGAATTTCATAACTCGCGTCGTTGTCACTAACAACGTCTATGTGCTCCGGTTCGTTTTCACAAAGCGTTTCGTCCTTCGAGGAGCACGATGTTTTAGTGCAGCAGCACTTCTTCGTTCTTCCGTCTGTGGAGGTCATCGGGCTTTCCTCTTTCTTCAGCTTCACGCGGCGGTTCTGGAACCAGATCTTCACTTGCTTCTCAGACAGCTTAAGTCTTGATGCGATCTCAATCCTCCTGAGTCTCGACAGGTACATGTTCATGGAGAACTCCCTTTCTAATTCAAGCAGCTGCGTGCCTGTGAATGCTGTCCTGATGCGTTTGCTAGAATCTTCTTTGAGAGGAACCCGCTTGAGGTCTTTCGAATAGCCTGGAAGGAGCTCTTCGGGGTGGGCGAGAGGAGGGCTTGGTGTTCCATTCCTGCTGTCGCTCGATAAGGACGGTGAGCGCTGTCCTTGGCTCTTGGATGGCGATATAGCCGTAGATTTGTACGGGTGATGTAAGTACGGCGACACGGATTTCTTTCTTCTGCTCACGAAGTTAACTGGCTCCAGATCTTCGGTTTTCCGATAGCTATCAGCCATCGCGGTCTCAGTTTGGGTCCGCTCGTAAAAATCCGAGTGCGATGGTAATTGATGCAGTAGCGGATACCTAAAGTTGAGGTGCTCCAGAAAAGGCCTGAACAGATCCGGTGTCCGAGTCTGTTGTTGCAATCCAATGCTCAGTAGATTCAGGTGCCCTGGGTAGGGATACTGCAGAAACTTCGGTGGGCCTATGAAACTTGTGTAAGGGTGCGGGTCACTTGGCATGTCAGCTTTCTTACAGTCTTTAGACGTATCACTAATCAACGTGTCTACGAGGAAAGAGCGCGACATTTTGATATGGCAGTGCACTCTGCGGAGTCCGCCTTGCAACTGATTACGTGGGGTGAGATCTGCTAAAAGTAACAATTACAAAAACTACCCCCACTTAGTGCGCCCTATTGTAAACAAACACAATAGGCCTCACTCGAAGCGTTTTGGCAATTACGTGGCCCGTCCCACCCTTTTGTCGGCGAGCCGTCAACCCCAGTGCTGTTTCGGACGAAAAAAAACTGTATTATTAAGAATGGAGCATTTTAGTAGCTATGAATAATTTTGTATGGGACGCTAACATCCCCAATATCTATCTCATTAAATCCAATTTTCGTTAGGATTTCGTGTGCGTTCCTTCTTGAGTATTTTTTTTAATATTTGAAAAATTTTGATGGACCGTCATAATATTAAAGTAGTATAAATATGAGTTAATTGTCAAAAAATAATCACAACTTTCTTAAAGGAAAGGTAGGCTATCCTTGGACTAGTTTTGTTAATTCTAACTTCAAAACTTTTGTTCATGAATACAATTTCAGGTTTCATATCTAAAAAAAAGTAAACGTCGCAAATTTGCCTACACAGCACATATATTTCTTTATTTTGTTTTATCACATAAATTATTTAATTTGATAGAGGACGTCTACTAATGAAGATAGCTAACAGTTGACCAAATCAATATAATATTTCATTAAGGCAGTTCTTTATACTGTCTGAGCAGATCAGATCTTTGACACTAACTGATGATGTCTATTTTTCTAAAACTTTTCATGATTTTTGTTTCGACCATAGAAATTGACGTAAGAACGTCAATTTCTATGATGATTGGATTGACTTTTGCTAGGCTGTGTATTAAGTTTTGAGAATTTTGCTATCGTTGACTTTATTTTTAATTTTTATTTACTTGGTGAAATAGTAATAAGCCGCTGATCAGGTAACGGAACTTCTTTAAACATTGCCCTCACTTTAGGATAACATTATCCTGTGTTGTAAGGACGTTTTACATACATAAATTGCACAAGGACAAACACCTCGATGCGAAACAACTATCTGCGGGTCACACAAATAGCTGTCCCGTGTGGGAATCGAACCCACGACCCCCGACGCCGAAGCCGATACCTTGGCAAATGCGCCACGTAGTCATCAAACTTACTACTACTTACTACTTCAGAAGTAAGTATCAAGACCGTCGGGTCGTTGTATACGCAGCGTATTAATTAAGTATGAATACCCTATAATACGAGCCGTATGCTGCACGCGTGATCCCGATACTTGTAAAAGAAATCTTACTGCATAGGGTGGGCATACATTAGCCCCGCCCCCTTGAATTGCGGACCCAACGGAACCCGTTTGTGAAATATTAAAGGGTCGAACAATGTTTGGTAGCATTATAATTGTGAATCAATTTATGTTATTATCATGTCAGCATTAATTTGTAAGTAAGCCTTTCAACTCATGTGAATGCTAAGTGTTTTGTTATGGCCTTTGTGATACATTTATTGCCTATGTTCCTTTGTGAGAATCTCAGACCTGTAGAGCTCTCAAACTGGAAAGGGGACGTTTAGGTCTCACTTGGCGACAGTATATTATGTTTCTTTTCGATAATGGTTTCTTTTCGCATTAAATTTGATCGCCTTTAATGGCTCGTATTTTTAACTTACTGTGGTCACTCAACAGTATTCGTTGTTGCAGGAATGGGCAGGTCCGTCCGGGTAAGTGTCACGATTTCACAGAAGACTGGCATTAAGTGGAAGTCTTAATCTCCTGTGTTTTGTCTGATGAGTAAGGTAATCTAGTCCCACTTTATTAAAAGGTAGCAATGCATCTTGCACTTGTATTTCATTTCGCTAACTTCTTAGAAAAAAAAAACAAACTATCATAAGTTTTTCAATTCTTTACTACGTACCTTCTGTCTACGTCTTTGATAAACTAACAATGAAATAATTAAGTAGTTCGGTTATAATCATCTTACTAATTACAATATTATCATCTTACCTAATCCATCACTTTATAAATGATATATAAACGTTTCACTACGAAATGAGTTCACTACGTATTTGTATTAGATTACTAATTAATTCAAACTAACATCGGTGACGACAGTTGAATAAAGATGACCGTTCGAGATACAATTTCGAACGGTCAACTTAATTCGGTTGAAATTGAAGTGACTTTGCAACATCGTGAAATGCCCGATCACTCTCGTTCTGACATCATGCCCGATCCTTAATGTTGCCAGCGATAAAATATATTAATCTTATTAAAAGATACTACAATTTGAACTTGAACCGTATAAAATGTATCCTTTCTAACTATCTTTTTAAGTAATTAATAAATTACTTTTTGTAATGGGATGCTAAATCCGTTTTCCATCTATTTCCTCGAAGAATTCTAAGTTATAAACTAAAATAGTATTTTATAATGTAATATCATGAAACATAATATAAAAAAAATATAATATAATAAAACGTGAAATTAATTGCATTTTTAGAAAGATATTCACATAGAAACGTTACTTGGAAAAATAATTTAAATATGATACAACCACAAATTGAGCTTTAACGTTCGATTTAATTACCGATACTCATAAAGCAAATAGGCGTTTAATATTAATCTTCAGAAGCTACTTTAGTAAGCAACTGTTTTAGAAGTTTTATGAAACTACAAAATTCGAGTAGACATTCGAAATATCAAAAAAAAATCGAAGATGAACTGATTGATTTAATTTACCGACAATAGTAGTAACGACATTTTTTTCCTTCAAAGAACCAAACGATTGATTTTTCATCAGATATCCTGACGTAACGCAAAAAGCGAATATTTTGGTAAAGGAACAAAGTTCTGTTTTTGTCATTGATAAGATTGTACATGAGGATAAAAACCCTTTATCGGCAAATTTTCTTTGTAAAGGACGATCATCCGCATGTTAAAAAAAAAGGAATCGAATTGAAAAAAATTGGCGGCGGCCGAAAGAGTAGCCGAGTTTTGTTTGTTTAAACACAACGGATCCACCTTTTATAGTAGAAATCTGACAAACTCAAACATAATCACGAATTCGCGGCAGACAATACGCCAGTAACAATGTGTAGCAAACATTGCCGGTCTGGTACTCCCAATGGAAACGTGCGAAAAGATTCCGGAGCCTTATTGCCAAGGAGCAAATGCGAGAATGCTTTGTGCAATAATGGAGACACCCTCGCAAATCAGATGGACGGATAATAAAGGGTTGTGATAGAGGTCGCGTCGGGGGAATTTTGTGTTATTCCGTCAGAGTAACCAGGTGGGACGTGGTGCTTTTTAACCGAACAGCATTTTTGTAACTTTTTTGACGAAGCCTGTTCATGTTAAGATATGACTTACATGGAAATTGGAAATGTTTTGTAGCTATTCATGGAGGTATAACAGTGGCTTGTTGGTACTGAAACTGCTAGTCGTGTGTTCAGTTCCTGCAAATAGGCAGAAATAGTATCAGTGATATAGGTTATACACAGTTTGGAAGATATTGAAAACTTTCACTGTTTGTATAAAACTGTTTCAATTTGTTTGTTCCACAAGAAATATTTATTAGCAAATACGTTATATCAAACGAAACGATGATTGAATGTTATTGGTTGCTCATACTTGTTATTGGTTGCTAATAATAATTGTTACAAAATAAGTTTAGATAATACTTACTTACCATCTTACTTACCTTAACTGATTTACTTACCATCAGGTGGGATGGCAGTCAAGTGCTGGCCAGTTCAAAATAAAAAAAAAAAAAAAAAGATAAATGTTCATTATTGTTTAATTAAGTATTGCCATCACTAATGTCATCATCAGATAACAGTTTTCAATTGACATAGGGCTAAACTAAAATTCGATTATAATTTAAAATTTTGCAATGGCAGTATCTCAAATATTTTATTGTAAAATGTCATGAAAAGGTGAATTTTTGTTATAAAGGAAATAACCTAGATGGTGCCAAGCATTGGTATTGCATTAAAAAACAGAGTAGATAAAGGCGATCAGATTTTCATTGGTGAAGATAAGCCGTGTGGATCAGTGGCTAGTGCGTTTACCACGTATCACAGAGCGGGTTCAAATCCTCGCAGAGGTCAAAGACTTTTCATTTATTTTCTTTAAATTTTAAAGTATTCTCCGCTCGAAGTAAACGACCACCTAAGCTATAAGAGCGATTGGCCAGCCCCGGCAGAGTCTGCAATAAAGGAGCGGAAACGAGCGCAGAAAGGTGATTTAATGACCACCTGTTTATTGTCCGGCCGATACGCCAACAACGGTTTCCGAGAACGAGATGACTTTTAAACGACGAAGCGATCGCGGCGTCCCGGGGAAGTCGCTACGGGACGCACTTGTCTGCCCATTCACCTATTCCACGCTCATTCACGGATCCTGTTACGGTAATGAATGGTGTCGCTTACATAATGCGGCCTCCGAGCATTGTTGCAAGTGTTCGGCCGGATTAGTACGACGCGTTGGCTCGGATACTATTTAACAGTTTGGATTGTGCGACGGTTTTGATGATTCGATTAGTGTTCCTTTTGGATTTGAATTGGCAGCTTGGGAAGGGCCTTATTAAAGTTGACAATGTCGCTAGTGGTCACGCTAGGCGAGGTATTGGCAGATCGCCTATGCACCGAGGAAGGGTGAAAACATTGATAGTAATATATAATAGTATTCGTGGTGATAACAAATAAATATGTGTGTAAGTGTGTGTGGATTTGAAAAAGTGTAAAATTCCTAAATACCTACTATCGTTGCAATTGTAAGACTTTTTTGTATGTTCATTAAATTGTTCAAATTGTTGGAATACATCCTCGTTACACATTTTGGCAAGTAAAACTGGCAAACAATAAAACATAAGCAAAAAATCATTTGATCCGATTACTATTAAACTTTATAGGATCATCCGCTGCGCTAATCTCAAAATTTCCGGACAATTCATTAAAATCGGTCTCGTGTTTTTGGAACGGGGAATGTTTTCGGCATGTACCCCATTTGATGAATCAGCTAATAAATGGTGT